TAGAACTGGTTCCAGCTTCCTCTCCACGCCCGTCCGCACATCATCAAGATGAAGGGCGAGAGGAGGAATTCTGGGAGTTGAAGTCTGCAAGTCTTAAAGCTGTCAAGTTACAAGATCCTTGCACCCCTAACTAACCCTTTAGGAAAAAAAACCCCAGGGGTGTTCAAACTTGACAGCTTTAAGACTTGTGGACTTCAACTCCCAGAATTCCTCCTCTCGCCCTTCATCTTGATGATGTGCGGACGGGCGTGGAGAGGAAGCTGGAACCAGTTCTAAATGGCACTGCAGATTTGTGGAATCTCTTCTATAGAAGAGGTTAAAACTGGCAGGAACCCACCCCTGATACATACAATACATGCATGCATGCATGCATACATACATACATACATACTGTATATACACACAGTATATACACAGTAAATATATATACTATATATGCTATATTAAATAAACATATTCCAGGTGAGGGAATCTTTTCCTGATATTCAAATCGAACCAACATTAGATCATTATATAACTATTAATTATTCCAGTTAATTATTTATCTATGAATTAAATCATGAGGTAGCATGATTCATTTTACCAAGACAGAGAATACATCCAAATGTCCCTCAAGTATGCAAATTGAGAATTTAAAGTAAATTTGTACTGTGGGAAAAAAATGACAAGAGAAGGAAAAAAGAAAACAACAAGAGGTTTGATGAATTCATGGTTGTTCAAAGGCTTCAAATTTAGCAAAGCTGAGCCTGGGGAGTCCCAAACCCTTCTCCTTTTGCTATTTTTTCCTAAATAAGCTCATTTTTCAGTGTACTACTCTTCTCTTTGCCCAGCCCCTGCCTCCTTCCAGGTGTGTGGAAAGCTGTCCTCAGGGATTCATGAAGGTGGCTCAGGAAGAGAAGCCCATCTGTTGCTACAACTGTCGTTCTTGTGCAGAAGGAACCATCTCCACTAAGGAAGGTGGGGGACAGCAGAAGAAAGAGCAAACTTTCAGGAGGACTATATACCCTGACCCGGGTGGTATTGTACCAGTTTGGATCGGTTCACCCGAACTGGTAGCGGAAATCAAGGGTGACCCTGCCCACTTGCCCCGGTTCTATGGCATCCCATTTAGATCCTTTTTTCCCCAAAAGCACATGCAGGGAAGGCTTTGCATGCACATGCTCACATTTGCGAACCAGTAGGGAAGGTAANTTCTCTTTCTTCTTCTGGTTGGCATTTTATTTTATGCAAACTTTATTAATAAATACCAATTTAAAAAAGAATAAGTTAAAGCTAATAACAACTAAATTCACTCAGACATAAGATGCATTCAATTTTTTTAAAAAATAAAATACATATTGATAGTATCCAAGAGTTCTCATCAAATACATCAGTTCTTTGTTTGGAGATTTGAAAAAAAATCCATCCATATATATAATGAAACATCCCCAAAACTTCCAGCCAAGCTGGATTGAAAATATTGTTAAAAAGTTTGTAAATTGGATGATGGGTACTAATATATTGGATTATGTTCTAATACATTCACACTTTCAGGATGACAGATTCAGAATATTCGAAAATGTTATCCTTCTTCTTTGCTATCCAAGACATCAACCAGAATCCCAAAATTTCATCCAATGTCACCCTGGGTTACAATATCTATGAAAATTATTTCAGTGCCCCAATGACTTCAGAGATTTTGCTAGACTTGCTTTCAGATGGGGAGGCCAATGTCCCCAACTACAGCTGTGGAAAGCAGAGAAACACAGTGGCCGTTCTTGAAGGGACTGAGACTGGCATCTCCAACCAGATTTCAACCATGTTGGGCACCTACAAAATACCACAGGTGTGTCTTTGCTGAGAAGACAATTTTAGTTAACTTTCAACTATCCTCTGCTATAAATGAAGAGCAAAGTTTTATCACCAGAATTATATAAATTAAGGATTAGTTAATTAATTATTATTATTATTATTAGAGAGCAGAGAAGAGGAACAAAGATGATTATGTCTAGTTTGATGAAAAGAAGAACTAGAGATGATATTGTAGCAGTGTTCCAATATCTCAGGGGCTGCCACAAAAAAGAAGGAGTCAAGCTAATCTCCAAAGCACCTGAGGGCAGGAGGAAGAAGCAACGGGTGGAAACTAATCAAGGAGAAAATAGAGTGGAATAGAATAGAATTCTTTATTGGCCAAGTGTGATTGAGGTTAGGAGTTGATACAATTAACACGCTGATAAGCAACTTAGAACTAAGGAGAAATTTCCTGATCATTAGAACAATTAATCAGTGGAACAACTTGTCTCCAGAAGTTGTGAATGCTCCAACATTGGAAGTTTTTAAGAAGAGATTGGGCAACCATTTGTCTGAAATGGTATAGGGTTTCCTGCCTAAGCAGGGGGTTAGAGCCAAGGTGGCGCAGTGGTTAAATGCAGCACTGCAGGCTACTGCTAGATCAGCAGTTCAGCGGTTCAA